TAACTGAGCCCAACGTTTCCGTTGCCCAGCGAGATGTTTATTAAAAAGTGAATTTCACAACATTTCACGACCTTCCTCGCCAAAGTTGTTAAGTGAATCACTGCCTGTTGTTAAGTGAGTCACATGGTTGTTAAGCGAATCTGGCTTGCCCCCCCCATCGACTTTGCTCGTGAGAAGGTCGCCAAACGGATCATGTGACCCTGGGACACTGCAACTGTCATAAATACAAATCAGTTGTCAAGCATCCGAATTTTGACCTCTGGGGAATGCCGTGACAGACATCAAGTGTAAAAAAACAGCCCTTTTTTCCAGTGTGGTTCCAATTTCGAACAGTCGCTAAGCAAATGGTTGTAAGTTGAGGACTACCTGTAATGGGGAGAGAGGAAAAGGTAGACAGGAGAGGCGTTTAAAGTGAGGGAAGGAGCAAACTGGCAATGCTCGAACCCAGACCCTGGGGGAGAAGGGTTCTCCGGCATCTGCCGAAGAGGGTTGGTGGGACTATAGTTTTGCAACGGAGGCTTGGGCAGCTGATCAGCAACCCTTTAAACACGGCCAATGGTCCTCAACTTACGACCTAGCAACCGTTCGGAGTAACAATGGCCATGAAAAAAAGGACTTGCAACCAGTCCTCGCTCTTATGACCATCGCAGCATCCCCAGTGTCCCATGATAAAATCTGGATGCTTAGAAAGTGGCAAGTCCTCGATTTACGACAGTTCACTTAGTGACCCTTTAGAACGCTCTAAAAAGTGACTTACGACCGTTTTCTCATACTTACGACCGTTGTAGCATTTCCCCACAGTCACGTGATCCAAATTCAGACGCTTGGCCCCCTGGCGTGTATTTATGACGGTTGCAGCGTCTCCCGGGGATCATGTGATCCCTTTTTGCAGACCTTCTGAAGGCGAAGTCAATGGGGAAAGCCGGACTCACTTAACAACTGCTGTGATTCACTTAACAACGGTGGCGAGAAAGGTGGTAAAATAGGGGGGGAAACTCACTTGTGAAAACTGTCTCGCTTAGCAACGCAAATTTTGGGTTCAGTTGTGGTGTGACGCCTATGTCGTTCCGGACAAAATGGCTTGTGGTCATAACTCAAGGACTACTAGAACTACTAATCCGTGGAACGACTTTGCCTCCAGAAGTTTGTGAATGCTTTAACACTGGAAGTTTTTAAGAGGGGGATTGGACAACCATTTGTCTGAAATCATTGAAGGGTCTCCTGCCGGACCAAGGGGTTGGACTAGATGACCTCCAAGCCCCCTTCCAACTCTGGTAGCCTATTCTATAATATTCGGCCCCTGCCTTGACATATACATGTGCAAACACACCTATTTCTATGGGGATACTCGGGGTTGACCTTTCCCAGACACCATCTTCCCCATGGCCATTGTTCTCCCCGCCACACAGATATTTGGCGCGCACACCGCCCAACCATTTCCCACACATCTGTCCGAGAGAATCGGCTGCCTTCTCCCTCCAGCATCGCCCTCCTCTCAGGCGTGCAAGAGAGGAACAAGCCAGCATCTGATGCACACATATCTCTGTTTGCTTCCCTCTGGAAAGAAAAGGACTCTCCAGATTGTCCTTGACTCACGACCCTTGTTGAGCCCAAAATCTCCGTTGCTAAGTGAGACAGAGGTTAAGTGAGCGCTGCCCCTCTTGCCACTGTTGTCGAGTGAATCGCTGCAGTTAGTGACAGGGTTGTTAAGTGAATCTGGCTTCCCCATTAACTTCGCTTGTCAGTATCGCACTGACCCCGGGACGCTGTAACCGTCATAAACATGAGCTACCAAGTATCTGAATTTTGATCAAGTGACCCTGGGGACGCTGCGAGGGTCATAAGTGTGAAAAACGGTCATAAGTCATTTTTTTCAGTGCTGTTGTAACTTCAGTCACTGAATGAGTGGCCGTATGTCAAGGACTACCTATACATTTCCCCACCCCCATTGCTTGCATGGTCCAAGCAACCCTAATATCTTTCTGCCTTCATTTTTAAGGGAGGGTGGGGGAAAATTTAACAAGAAGAGTTGGGGTATCCACTGCACCCCCCAAAATGCTCATACAACCACCACCCCATAAAAGCTCAGGCTCTGTTTAGATTTGGACCCCACACAGTTAGGGGGATGGCCGCCACAATGCCAGGCGGTATGGTTGCACACACACGCAAGCACGCACTCTCAACCTTGCCAAATTTTAAGTTGGGTGGGCTTCAATTCCTAGAATTCATCGATCAATGAAAAACAGCAGATCCCTCAGGAAGTGCAGAATATTGGGGAAAATGAAAAGGTGAAGATGAAGATGGAGGTGGAGAAGAAGGAGAAGGAGAAGGTGGAGGAGGAGGAGGAGAAGAAGAAGGGGAAGAAGGAAGAAGAGGAGGAGGAGGAAAAGAAGAAGGGGAAGAAGGAAGAAGAAGAGGAGAAGGAGGAGGAGGAGGAGGAGGAGAAGAATGGGAAGAGGGAAGAAGAAGAGAAGGAGGAGGGGGAGAAGAAGAAGAGGAACAGAAAGAAGAAGAAGGGGAAGAAGGAAGAAGAGGAGGAGGAGGAAAAGAAGAAGGGGAAGAAGGAAGAAGAAGAGGAGAAGGAGGAGGAGGAGGAGGAGGAGAAGAATGGGAAGAGGGAAGAAGAAGAGGAGGAGGAGGGGGAGAAGAAGAAGAGGAACAGGAACAGGAAGAAGAAGGGGAAGAAGGAAAAAGAGGAGGAGGAGGAGAAGGGGAAGAAGAAGAAAAAGAAAAAGAAGAAGAAGAAGGAGAAGGAGGAAGAAGAAGAAGAAGAAGAAGAAGAAGAAGAAGAAGAAGAA